AATAGAAAAAGAGGTAAAAGACCTTCTTCCCCCAAACAATGTAATAGGGGAATCAAAAGGGTAACGGAAAAATCTAAATTCTTCACACACACCCAATGTTTTCTTTCCCTTTCCCGTATCTCATTTTGTTGTATTTCGTTTCTGAAAGTCGGAGACTGTTTATTCTCCTTCCCCTCTTCTGTCTCCCTGAATCTACATGCTGCTGCTGTTGCTGTCCGTTCCTGCAAATAAGATGCCGGCGACACAAAAATACACCCAAACACTAACAAGCCCATTAAAAATTGGTGCGGTGTTCTCCGGCCCTCACAAACACTTCGTTGATTCTCTTCATTCCTCCCCCTACCAGCCCCGTTCCGCCCCGCATTGAGAAGTCACTTGCGCCATCCCCAGCCCCACTTCCAGCGCTTCTCTTCCTTCGCTCCGGCGGAGTCAGACGGTTTCGGTTGCTCGTCCCGTGGCTTCGTACGGGAGGAAATGTCATGGATCGGATATTCGACGTACGTCAGCGCAATATCCACAAATACGGGTTTACAAGGCACGGCTTGATAGTCTGGTGGGAATTTAATGATGTTCTGGGCGACAGCCACTTGATCGCCGGCGTCGACAAGGTACTGCGTCGACTTCTCCTTCGCTTCCTCAACCCTCCCAGCGGCCACACCGGATTGTAAAGTGGTGAGAAGTGTCGACGACGCCAACTGCAAAGAGCGTTTCTCCACCACCAGACGAAGTTTCTCCACCCGCGGTGTCGATGGCACCCCTTCAAGGGTGGAGAGGGAAGCTTTGTAGCAGTTTTGTGCACGCGTTGGTTCCAGTGAGATGCGCCAGCCCTCTCCCAAGTAAAGCAGCTTTCCAGCGCGACAGAGCGCAGTCAGCTCCTCCAAGTCCGCACGACCTGCAACACCCGGCAGCAGCTCCATCTCACCCAGAGTCTCCAGCGCAGTATCGTACAATCGAACAATCTCCAGCGGTGAAGCGTACTGCGAGGGGGTTATCTCCCTCTTGTTCTTAAAACCCGAGCTATAAATGTGGGTGTTAATTTTATTGTTGCCACTGCTGCTACTGCTTCCCCCCGAAAGAGATTTTTCGGTGGCACAGAAACGACGGATGTAGACTTCCGCCATAAAGAGGGTGCGGTGCAACGTCTCCTGAGATACATGGAAAAGCAGGTAATGTACAAGGAGTTGCAGCTCAGTCTTCTGTCTATCATCCGACAGTGTACGTAGGTCTTGGCGTGCATGGGCTAATGCATCATTAAGGCAGCCAATACGTCGATCCATCAGATCCAGAACTTTGTTCTGTTGTCCCAGAGGAATGGGACCACCCAACTCCAGTGCCTTCGTCTTCACCGACTCGACATTAAGAGTTCGTACCTCACGTAGTGCGTCCTTTACCTTGATAGAGGCGACGTTTAATTGCCGTCCATTCCATTCAATCGTTGTGGCAGCCAACCGCTCCGTCGTATCCTCAAGATCGACGTGAGGCTTGTATTTGGAAGCGTCTTCACCCAGACGCAGCATACAATACACCACGCGATCATCCAGCTCATTTACTTTGGTAAGAAGAAGCATCCACTGCTCAGGGGTGCTGCTCTTACGCAATGCATAATACTGTTCACGAGCCATAGAAAAAAACTTTTTTGCTTCCACCATTGCACCATGTGCAGCCGCAGCACGACCCTTCACTTCCAAAGCATATGCTTCTGCCTCTTGCTTCAGCCGCGGGTGCGCCACAATTCGTGCAACTTCGTGCAGCTTTGAGGCCCACTTGACAGATTTATTAAGTCTTTTCCGAAATTGATCACTCGGTGGAATGCCACCGGGTGGCTTATTCTCACCGCCGCCTCCCACATTACGACGCCTTTCCTGCATTTCCTCCGCTGCCGCCCAACAGCGTTCGGCGTAAAGAACAAGTAACTGAAGATGCTCCGGCCGTGTTGCGTTCTGTGGCGTGATTTCCTTCTGCTTAAACCTTTTAGGGTCATGGAGAAGACCAAGTTGGTGACGCAGTGTCGAAAGTCGGTTTGTCGTGTAGCGGCGGTAACGTGCGTAGTCCTCTCCGCGCAGACCGTGCTGAAGCTGAATTTCCTTCAGGAAGTGTAAAAGATCAAATTCCATCGTCGACTTACTTCCTTCCTTTTTTTTTTTTTTTTGTGAGTGTGTGTGCCCCTGATGAATTCAGGTTACAAAAAGATGTTATAATTGTGTGTATTTGAGTGCGGAGGCGAAGTAACGTTCCAGTACGTGCCTCCCCGTCCCTCCTGACGCATAAACAACAGCGTTACGTCCCCGCAGCGGCCAGAAATAAAAGGAAACAAAGGGAAAAAAAAGGACAACAAACAGACCAGTGCGACACGCTCCCAAAATGTATTCACTGCGCCCATCTCTCACGCACGCCCCAGTCCCATCTCCCTCAAAGTCGTGCACCCGCACGCAAGTCAATTTTGAGAGTAAAAAAGAAAAAATAAACAAAAAAAAAAGTGTTAGTTAAATAAATTTGTTCAGATCTCTCTTATCCCGCTTTGGTTGACGGACGAAGACACTCAAATCAGTTTTTGCTTGTGGCAGTGTTAAGCTTGCGAATGGCGACCTTGAAGGCGATCGCGTCAGCGAGCTTACGGCCATTCTTCGTGATGCGGTGGCCCGAACTCTCGCACTTCTCAATGAGACCAAGCTTCGTGAGGCTCTTGCAACCCCAGTGCAAAAGTCCCTTGGACGCACGTACGGTAATCTCGGGGCGGCTGCCGCGGTTCTTCTTGCTTGAAAAGCGTTTGCTCAGGCCGCCGTAGCCAACACCGGGGCGCATGTACACAGCACGAAGGATGGCGGCGCAACGAATGTAGTACCAGTCCGGGTTCTGCGGGGCGCGCTCACGGCCGTGGGACGATTTTACAATTTCTGTGCAGTTCGGCACCATGAGCTTGCCCTCCTGCTTGAAGTGCTGACTGCAGAGCTTGACCCAGCGCCACGGGTGGACGTCCTTCATGGTCGCACCCTTCTTCTTGCCGATGCGGCGGATCTTGGAGTTGGCCTTCGTGCGAGCAGCAACCATTTTTCCTTTTTTTTCGTGTTTCTTTCTTGTTGGTGTTTTGTCGTGCAGACGCGGAGTATCAGAGGAGAACCTCACTGTGCAAAAGGCAAAAAATCAAAAAGAAGGCAAAAAGCACACCAGTGAAAATGAATAATAATAATAATAATAATAATAATAATACATAAGAGCCGCACCAAAGAGACAACAGAAAAAAAGCCAAAAGCCCAAAAGTGGACATGCAGGAATAAATAAATGAGCACGCCACATGCATGCCCAATCGCCCACATCAAACTTCGAACTTCATCCACAACTACAGGGAATAAACGCAAGCAAGAGGGAATTATTTTCTTTTATTATTATTATTTATGGGATGCAAGAAGAAAAAAAATGGAAAAAAAAAAAAAACAGCACCACGCAAATAGGAAACAAAAAAACAAAAAAAAAAATCCATTCCGACACCACCACCACCGCCATCACCACTACAAGTCAAAAACAACGCTTGGGCACTGTTAAATTAAGAGTAGTAACCATAAAGAAAAACATATAACTCCCCCATTTTCCATTTCCTCGTCCTTGTGAATCGTATGTGACCGTATGTAAATACACGCTCCCTTCAAGCATCTGTTGGAATGTCTGGTTACTTCAAAACAGAGAGCGAGACTGTCTTTCTTTTTTTTTTTGTTTTTTTTTTTTCTAAATAATTATTTTTTATCGCCTCCTCTTTGGACGAACATAATTCGGACAATTTAGTAAAGAAGTTTATAATTTGCGTGAAGTGGGTGGGTGTGCGAGAGGGAGAGAGAGAGAGACGCAGCAGCAGCAGAGACGCACACATACAAAAAAGAAAAAAAAAAAAAGAAAAGAAAAGAAACGGGAGGCGCGCGTAAAGAAAAAAATATATTTATATATAAAAATAAATATATGATGGCAACCAAAAATAGTAATAAACAAAAATGGACGTAACGACCCAAAGCGGTCCTCCATTCTGTTTTTTTTTTTTTTTTATTTTCTTCTTTCATGTACGCCCCTGTGCCGTATGTGTGTTTCTCCCGGCCCCCACCCACCCACCCACCCACTCATCATCATCATCATCGCACCAGCAAGACGATTACAACGGCGGGAGTATAATACCCAACGCAAAGTGGAAAAGAAAAGAGAAAAAAAAAAAGAAAAGAAATGAGGTCATAAACAACACAAGCTACAAACAACTAAAATAGAAGATACGCAAAAGACAACAGAAATCAAACAAACAAACAATAAACAAAATAACAAGCAAATACACAGTTCTAATATTACAAACACCGGTAAAAAGGAAGGAGGCAGCAAGACATATGTATATAATATAACATAATATATGTATTTCATTTATCTTCACGCATAGATTGCTGTATAAAGATACTTCTATGCATGTACCTACGCATATCCATGTCTGCGCACTCCGTTGGTCAAAGAAAAATGAGAGATCATAAAGCAAAAGAAAATTGGTCAGTATTTGCACGCTAGTTTGTAACCAATAAAGAAGTGAACAGTCACAGCTGAAGCCCGATTAGGGAGTATCCCAGAAAAAAGAAAAACTAGTGTACAAAAATCCATAATTGAAAATGCTGGGCACCACCTATACATCCATTCATATTACATATGTGCACACGTGTATGCATATGTATGTATAAATATATTAATATATATATATATATATATTACTCGACCTAACTGTTTGCTTTCTTGACCGTGAGGGGCAGTGGGAAAAGGTTTTTGTTCCTCTCTTTCTCTCTCTTTCTTCAATTCGCCTTTTTTCTTCTTCTTTTAGCCTTCTCTTGTCCCATGTTCTTAAATTGTTCCGGCCTTTTTAAAGTCCAGCCGTACGCCGTTATCCCTATTTTTTGTTTGTTTGTTTGTTTCCACCTTTTTGTTTTTCTCTCAATGAGAACAGCCGCAAATACCAAAAAAGAAAAAAAAAGGTCAACGTTTCGTTCCTATTCACTATCATCAAAATAGCCCCCATGCAGCGATCCGTTTACCCGCCGCGCTGCACTAGAAGCCGCATCACATGAAGCGTGCAGTCTGGTTCCCATTTCGTTGGGCGACCTCGGGGCAATGTCGTAGACCTTGTATTCAAACAAGACGCGGTCCTCTCCCACATTTGCTCGACCGCGTAGCACGGCAAAAGCCCCCTTGTTATTCATGCCACAGTAATTGGGGGCGGAAAAGAGGGTGAGCACAAGACCCCCGTGGGCCCAATGATAGCCATCCTCAACACACTGATGGGCCCGAACAATAAACTGCATTCCCTCTCTCCTCTGACCCGGCAGCCTGGAATTGAAGGAATAGCCGTAGTTGCGGTCGAGAAACGCCCTTGTGACATCAGGCCCAAAGATGAACCCGCATCCCCTGTGATTGACTTGGAAGCCGTAGACATCATCATCGGGGTCGGACCACAGCAGGCCATCGACTATATTGCGCTCGTCAGCAACAGACAACTCCGTGTCGTTGTCATTCGTGGGAGAGGGAAAGTAAAAGCCTGAAGAAGTTCCTAACGACTGACCATACTCGTTGCGACAAATGGATTTCAAACCGACAATCGTCTTAGTTTGGGGACTGAGGCCACCATGTGCGCAAAAAAACATGCCAGAGGGACATTGGACGACAGCTGCGAGAGGCAACCAACAAAACACCATATTGTACTGCAGCCATGCACTGCTTGACATACTCGTACAACCACCACCTACCCTCTCACCATTTCCTTCCAATTTTACACGACATTCTTGAAAAAACCCGTACATGCGAGACGTCTGTGCCTCCTCGTGATTTCCACGAAGAAGCAAAACATGAGTAGGGTACTCTATCTTTAACGCAAGCAAAAGAGTGATTACTTCAACACTGCGTGGGCCACGATCCACGTAGTCGCCCAAAAATAAAAACTTATAAACTGAGCCCAAAGGCCTACTGGGAATACAGTCCTCCTCTTGCTGCACTAACTGCATCGATAGTACGTTTTGTAAGAGGTCTGCAAACTGACCATGGATGTCGCCAACAATAATCAGGTTATCCTTTTCAGTGACATCAATATCTAGCACGACACTCTCCTTCTCGAGCACCTTCTTTGCATCCTCACAGAGGGCAATGGCCATGGGAGCACCTCCAGGGAGAGCGTCAGTAATGGGGATATTTTGCAAGAGATCTGAAATCAGTCTGGTGTATTTATTAATTGCGGGTGGAACGGTTCGTGGGGGATAAAAATAAACCGTTTCGTCATCCCACTCCCGTTGATTATCATGCATTCTGTTCATCCACAACCTTAAAAAAAAAAATTTTTTTCTCTCGTTCACTCTTTCTCTATATTTTATGTATGTATGTATGTATGTATGAAGTGAATGCGTGTGTCTTCCTAGTTTTAGTTGCTGTTATGTGAACACACTTACTACTTCACCTTCGTAAGTGAAATGCAATCCTGTTACTGGCGCAAAGAAAGGGGAAAATATTAGAGAGGCGCAACCGTGTCTGCAGGGATGGCATGACAAAACCCAAATGGCAAGTCAAACCCACCGCAAAGAAAAGCAGCATGCGGAAAAAAAAAATCGAGGCAATAAATATTTGCAGCGATGAGCCAACAGAATGCTCAGACCGCAAAGCTGAAATTTTCGGAATCAGCATTCGCATCGACACCACGCAGCAAACAAATACATGAAAAAAGTGACAAATGTGGACATAAATGGAAGAGAAAAAAACGGGGGGGGGGGGGGGGAAAGGGTATGATGAGAGAGACTGACACGTCAACGCAAGCAGCCTTTTTAAAAGAGGCAAAGGATGAAGAAAAATTTTCATGATTCTTAATTTTACCACTTTTTCCTCTTTCGGCCAACTGAAGTGAGGATGACGCGTGTATTCCACGTCTACACACACACACACACACAGTCAGATAGAGTGATGTATATTTATATGTATATGCATGCATGCGTACATATCCCT